AAAGGAAAAAAATTAAATAAAATTTTAAATAAAGGTGACACTTCTTGTACCTTAGTGACATGGAGCACATTCCTCCTGGCTCCCACGTTAGTTGGCAATGCCAGGAAAGGATGAGAGAATCTAGGGTGAGCATTTACCATAAGAGAGCTGAGGGTGTTCTCCTTGGGAACTCCGTGTGCGGAGGACAGGAGGACCACCCAGGGGACCACAGGGGAACTGGGAGAAGCCACGGCAATCTCACAAAGTGGGGAGTAATCGATAGGTAAATGCTGTAGAAAATTCCAGCAAGTTTCCACCAGACTTGGCAACGCCGTAGTTCCCTGACTGATGGGCAGGAGCCAGGTCAGGATTGAGGAGTCTGTGGGGGGCGAGAATGTGTGCCCCACAGCCCTGAATGTCAGCCACCACCACTCATCAATCAGACACCACAGAGCAGGGCCAGGGCCAGGGCCAGGGCGCCATTCTGGCCCCATCAGTGACCAGAGAGCAGAGTGAGCTCCACCCAGTGAGGCTAGAGAAACCACCAGTAGGGGGCGCCCACTGGCCCATCTGTAATAAGCCTCAGAGGAAAGTCTATGCAGAGAAATGGCAGATTTCCTGAGCCTTGAAGGTTTATCCGTATTTTCCTCTCCTGTCTCTTTTGTTTGGTTAAGGGGTATGGAGGTGAAGGATCTGGCCCTCTTGCTGCAAATTCAGCGTTTATTGAGAGGTTCCAATATGCCAGCACCTTGGCCTTGTGTGTCCCTGGATCACCCCATTCTGTACTGCAACAACGTGAGACAGACACACAGAGGTTGGCTGGTCCAAGACGGCCCAGCGGCGAAAGCGGCAGAGCTGGGACCGCGCCTCCAGGTACTTCTATTCCAATTCCAGGGCTCTCTCCGCCACAATTAATTAGAAGAAATTAATTATAATGAACAAATTAATTGGTCTAATTGGAAGAAATCACTCAAAGAAGATTTCCAGCTCTCCTTGTGCAGAAAGTGAAGAACTACTGGGATTCGGGGCTCGGGCAGGAGAGACCTCCTGGTGTCCCTCCGGTCCTGCTGGTGGAGAAGAGCTGGGGGACCCAACGCCAGGCCCCGCGCTCCCTTCTCGAGGATGCATCTGACCACGCCTCCCGCCTGCGTGACCCGCCCTCCGTGCTCCCCGCCCATTGTAAGCCCAGCGTGGAGCTTGCTGCCTGGGCCAGGGCAGAGGAAGGAGGGAGCGTGTGGCATGTGCTTCTCAGAACCGCCCACCCACGCACATCAGTGAGACATGGAGGTGTCCTGCATGACAGCTTGGCATGGCATGGGAGAGCCTTCAGAAACCACGCCCTTGGGATGGGGGCGGGGGATGTGCCAGGGCCTCCTCCCACTCATGATGCACTGTCCCAGGTCTGGGCACGGCCTGTCTAAGCCTCTGGTCGTGGGACACTGCGAGCCTTCCCTGGGGGCCGTCCCGCCCCCGCACCAGAGGCCCAGTGGGGAATGGAAAGGGCCACACCCAGGTGCTGACCCTGTGAGCTCACAGGTAGGTGGATTCCACCCGATTGTGAAAAGCAGCTTTTAACACGATTCAACCTGGATTCACAGTCGTAACTTCACCACTTCGTGGCTGTGCGTTTGGGGGAAGTCTATGTCATCTCCCTTGGCTCTCGTTCCTTCATCCGTGGAATAACGGTGAGACAGCGCCTGCTTCCCGCTTACAGAACATGAGGACGCCAGGGGCCTAGGCAGCGCCTGGCACGCGGCGGCCGTCCAGCCAACGCCAGCTGTCCCCTCACCCCTTCCTCACCATCCCGTCACCAGGAGCGTCCCTGCATCACAGGGTGCTCCCAATGCGTCGGAATATCGGCCATCATGGGAAACAACAGCCTTGGAATCTAACCAGCTCCAGAGGCAGCTGGGTGGACAGCCAGGCAGTGACCGGCTCGCTCTGCAAAGGGCCCTCATCTGCCCACCCCAACATACTCACTGGGCCCCCCTTTACTCCCCAGGGAGATTCAGCCTGGAGATGCCTGGGACCCCGCGGCCATCGCACAGCTTCACCAGCAATCCCCACCGCCCCTAGCAATGCACACGTCCCCGGAGATTCCCAACCAGTCTGGGAAGTCCCGTCACCCCCTTCCATGATTTCTTAGTCTCTTTAGATGTCGTGAGCCTAAGGAATGTGTTTTTTCTCCCTATCCTGCCTTTTCTCTGCCTTAACTCTCCCTGCACATCAGCCTGTGCCCCAGGAAGCCCGAGAGGAGGGGCAGGGTCTGGTGTCTAAGGAGAAAGGCACAGAGATGGCCTAAGCCCTCATTTCCTTCCCCACGGCCCGCCTTCCGGGGCGACCAGCATCCCCGATGACCAGGGATGGCTCCCCCCTCAAAGGAGCGCACACTGCTGCATGGGAACTGCCCGTCCGCGTAGGCCGTGCCCCAGGACAGCGTCACACGGGAGTGAAGTGCTGCGGACCACTCCGGGCCAGGCCTTCTCAGGGGCACAGGGGCTTTCTCTCCTCTTCCCCTGGCCAGGAGCGGCGGGCAGTCGCTCGGCGGAAAGAGTCTGAGTCCCTGGACGGTCAGCTGGAGGGAGCCTCCCCTGATGACACCCTCACTGGGTGCGCAGGTGGACGGAGAGACACGTGGACGGGGTGCACCACTGGAGGGTGGGAAATTGTAGGACCCATTACGGTGGTCGTGTTATACCTACTGGTAACACTCAGCCTGGCATCGGCCCCTCCTCCCACCTCCTGATTCAGAAGCAGCAAACGAAGAGGAAAGACTTCCCCCAGCATCGATAGGAGAGACCAAAGCAAGCAAACTCGAGGCACCCGAAGGCCAGGCCTGTGGGGGCCTCCGTGCTGGTGGCTGGAGGCTTGATGTCGGCAGTGGAGACACGGGGGGCACTGGGCACTGGCCAGTGGGACCATCATGGTTGAGGTCACCATGTTAAGTGCAGGACAAGTAAGCAAAGAGCTGGAAGGAATACGTCTTCCAGAAGCATCCAGCAGGGCCGCCCGTCCAGTTCTCTCGGAAACAGTCGAGTCAGCTGGGCTCCCTTGTAAACACGCTTCTTGCTGAGCTGGCAAAGTCGGGGCAGAGAAAGAGGAAGGGGAACAGGAAGCAGGTGCCCATCCGCTTCCCCATCCCCGTCTGCTTTGTCTGCTGGCTTACTCTTTAAGGCTCATGTAGGCTCCGCTCCTCTGCGAGCCCTTGCTTGACCTCTCTGGGTAGGAGTGGCTTCCGAACCCATGCTCCCAGCTCGTCACAGTGGGTCACCACATGGGCTCCGGGGACACTGTTCAGACACCCTCACTGGGTGAGCAGACACCCTCTGGTCTTTGCATCTCCCCCCCCCCCCCACACACACACCCCTCCCTCCCACGGCATCTGAAGATAAATGGGAAAATATCCTGTGGTTGGCGGATGGATACATATATGAATCATGACTAATTGAGCAGAACCCCAAGCAGGAACCAAAATCCAGACCCCAAACTGAGGCTGTCTGGGCACCTGGGTGGACCATATCTGTTTTCTCCCGAGGGCACCCATAGAACATCCGATGACAAGATTTTCAGGTCACACAGCTTTTATTGCTGAAGACCAATGGGGGGGCTGCTGGGGAAGTCACGGTTGCCCCCCCACACACGCACATCCCTCCAGACTTCATAACGTGGAACCAGCCCCCGGGCTCTGCCCAGTAGCCAACTCCAGCCTGCTCTCTGAGGGCCATCGTTCCGCTGCGTGGCTGCCTACCTGGGCTGGGCTGGGCTGCTTGGCCCCTGCTCCTGGAGCCGTCGCGTCACCACACAGGCCCACGCAAGGTGAGGACAGTGGACTAGGGAAGGAAGAGGGACCAAGGCTGGGAAGGCCCAGGCCTGCAGCAGGCCACGCCCATGGGGCTTGCAGGAGCGGGGCCACTGGGACCCTTCAGAAGGACTCTCTGGAAGGCCCAGGGACAGGGTCAGCTCGCATGGCGGCGTGACGTTTCCGGAACGACCGAGAAACGGAGAGGTGGAGAAAGCTGAGAAAAACTCCGAAGTCCATAGACAACACTGAGAATGAGGGGTGGCGGTCGCCGGGACTGTCCCAGCCGCTGGGGGGCCCGGGGAGAAGCAGCATCCATTTCTTCATGCCTTGGCTACAGCCCTGGAGTAAGCGACAGCTGTGGCTTTCTCGGTCCTTGATTTGCCACTAGCCCAAGGGAGGGTCCTCTTCCCGGAGCATTGCGAAGGAGTCGCCCCAGTCCCTGGAGAGGCACAGCCCCTGTGGTCCCTGGAAGTTCTTGGGGTGACCGAGGCTAGCTCTCCTGGCTCCAGGGATTCTTGGAGAGTCTTTGAAAACACACCGACTCATGTTTCTTAAATATAAAAATAAAATACAATAAAATCCACACCCTACAACCTGTGACTGAACAAGAACAGTGAGCCCTGTTCCCACTGTCAGGGCAAGGAGCCGGGGGCAGCCCTCCCCGGGCCCACGGCCGCCGGTCTGAGAGAGCAGGATGCTTGCGACGCCAAGGGGGTGTCTTCCTGCTGGGGACAGCCCAGGCACTGCGACGGAGCCTTTTCGTCTCTGCCCAGCGCTGGTGTCACCAGGGCTGCTGGGTGGCTGCCCACTCTGGCTCGTCTCTGAGTCAAGGTCAGAGGAGCGGCAATTCCTGATGGGACCTTCCAGGCCCTTCCCTGGGCGCCGTCTCCTCCATGTGCACGGACACACCTGTAGGCGTCTCCATGGTGCCAAACTGCTGTCTCCAGGTGATGTGCAGCCTGGGGTTTGAAAAGAACTGACCGCTCTCCTGGTTTCTGAAGACTGCGCGACAGCGATCTCTCTCTCTCTCACACACGCGCACACGCATGCACGCACACACACGCACACACACACACATGCACATTGCATGTTCACTGAGGCAGCAGACAGTGGAGGTGGCAGTATGAGCTGTCCGGTAGCCTTGAGCCCAGGAGATGTTGCAAATGGCCCCGTCACTTGGGCCCGGTGCTCCGGCAGGCAGCTGGGAGGTGGGAGCGGCCAGCTGCTAGGATTTCCGGTGGCGCACCTCGCTCTGGGGAGACAGCAGGGACAGCAGGGTGAGCTGGATGGCCCAGAAACCAGGCACAAAGGTGGGGGCCGGAGTGCGGCATTCAGTCCCCCTGTCGCCTGGCACTGCCCGGGCAGCAGAGGGAGCACGTGGAAGCAGGTGCTGAGAGACCCGGCGGCCATCCCCTCCCCCACTCGCTCTCCATGGTCCTGCCCAGGGGAGGCAGGGGCTGAACTGGGTCAGCGATGGGGGTGGCTCGCCATTCCCTGAGCCCGCTTCCCTGGCTGGGGTGAAGGCACTCCTCGCCACCACCGGGGCAGGAGCGGCACCGCGGCCGGCGCCCACTTGGCCCGCTTCTCAGACCCCGGGCTCCGCTCTGCCGGAGGAGAGGAGGGAGGCACGCAGGACGCTGGGCTGCCCCGTGTCGCGCTTCCTGTCCGTCCTCTGCGCTCTGTGGCCAGCTGCTCACGGGACAGCATGAGGGAACCCCGGCTGAGACCCTGGGGACCTCCTCCTTCGGGGGACCCCCGCTCGCCAGAGCCGACGCAGGCTCTCACCTCCATCTTGCTGTATATCCAGGGCAGGAGCTCTGTCACTTTGGTGTACACACCGGGCTTGTTTCTCTGGCCGCAGCCCGTTCCCCAGCTGGTGACACCTGCCAGGTACCAGCGGTTGTTCTGCTCGCAGACCAGGGGCCCCCCGCTGTCCCCCTACAGGGGAGAGCGGGCGTCAGCAGGGCGGGAGAGGGCGTCCTCCAGCCCCTCTGACCCCAGCGCTCCCCTCCCCCACGGCCCTGGGGTCCCGGATCCTGAGCCCACCCAGAAGCGGCCGCACCTGGCAGGAGTCTCTGCCGCCCCGCAGGTCCCCCGCGCACATCATCCTGGGGGTGAGGTAGCTGTCGTAGACCAGGTAGTCGTTGCACTTCCTGAAGTCTATGAGGTTCACCTGCACCTCCCGGAGGAAGGGGGATGTCTTCTCTTCAGGGGGGAGCAGGGGGGACAGAGAGGGTGGGAAAGACTCTAGTCAGCTCCATGGCTTTCTACTGCCCATCCCGGACCCCGCCTCGCGGCCTCCTCGGAGGGGAGGCACCGTCCCTATGGCTGGCCACGCAAGGACACACACACCCTCACACCTGACACAGCTCACTGCAGACAGCAGAGACAGATGGACACGGGCACACGGGCAGCGGCCAGGCTGCTCGCGTGTTGCACACGCTTTTCTGTGTTCAGAGCACCCTCCCCATGTCACTCGGTCTGTTAGCAGGGACTGTGAGCCCTAATGACGGACAGGTAGTCCCTTCACAGACGGAGACGGAGGGCTGCCGAGGTGACTTGCCCACAGTCACACAGCGAGTCCCTGGTGGAGCCGAGGTCAGGAACAGCTGCTCCCGCGCCAGTCAGCCTGACGGGGATCCCGGCCGAGCCCCCCAGGGGCAGACAGGCCCGGGCGCTCTCCCGCCCCACGTAAATGACCCGCAGCTGACGTCAGACAAGGCGAAGCACAGGTGCAAAGGGCCGGCGGTACCCAGCCCTCCCAGCCAACAGGAGAGGCTGCGCTCCTGACCCAGCGCCGCCGCCGCCGCCCCAGTGTGCTCGCGACTCCCCGGACTTGTCCGGAGACCCAGGCAGAGAACTCCCTGTTCCCTAAAAGCGCCCAATCTAAAGAACTGCTCCACTCTGAACCCTCAAGTCCTCCCCCCATCCCCTGTGGAGATGTGCCCGGGCTCTGCGTGGCGTGTGTGCCCCTCTGTGCAGTGAGCAGTGAGCCCAGCGTGTTCAGCGACGGAGGTTCTCCTGCGGTCCTGCCGGAGGGCGTTGCCATAGTGACCGCTCTGACATGTACAGGTGTGTGTATGCGCACCTTCGCTCACACCCAGGCCCGCGGAGCGGTTTGCCCGCGCCCTTGTCCGGCAGGCCCTCCGTATCTACCCCGACGCGTCTCCCACGCTCCGCACAGACACACGTGTGTACGGGCACATGCTCACGCGCGCACGGCCCAGCGTCCGCCTCTCACCATCCGTCTCCTTGGTCTTGCCGAAGCCCGTGATCCAGCAGGTCTCGTTGAGGCCGAAGGTCTGGCCGTGCATGGGGAGGCAGGCAGGGTGGACATGGGCTGCAACAAGACCGCCAGGCATCAGGGAAGGCGCAGGCTGCGGGTTCCGGAGGGGGCCTAGGAGCACCCATGTCCTGGGAGCCCCCTCCCTGCCCCGGAGCAGCTCGGACTCCTCCAGGGCTTCCGACTGACCGGTCACTTTATCTCGACCCTCCAGCCCTCAGGGGGCTACCAGAGTTCCCCCAAACATTCCGCTTTCAGTGGGTGCCACGTGGGCAGTGCCCCGGTCCCACATCAATCCTGGGTGACCCAATCTCCCTCCGAGACGGGCTGTCCTGACTGAGTCTCCCTGCCTGTCCGTCAGAGCAGGGAGCAGCCGGCCAAGCCCAGGCACGCCGGCCACGGCGGCTCAGTCCAGCCTGGTCCGTCCAGCGAGGGCACCTGCGGGCGGCCGGGCCGGAGGTGCTCCATCCAGGCAGAGCAGCTGCTGCCAGCAGGAGGAGCATCCTCGGGGCACAGACCCCAGAACCGCTGCTCACCTGCCCCTACGCTCAGAAACAACCAGAAGGAGCCGGTGCTGCCATCACCCCCTCGAGAGCCCCCCTGAGGACTCTTCCCCCATGGGCCGTCACTGACCCCCAAGTCCAGTCTGCAAGGAGGAAATGTTAGCGGACAGGCTGTGTGCAGGGTTGGCGAGCGTGCGGTTTGCTCGCTGCCGATTCCCAACCCTGGAAGCGCTCAGCGAGCTTTGGGAGAGAGAGAGGAGGGGGAGGGGAATGAATGTAAGTCCTGTAAGCTGGGCTCTGAGCACTGGTATCGAGCACACCCGTCTGCTGGCGCGTGAACAAACAAAAAAATAAACGAAAGGATAGTGGCAATTGTGAACGAAAATGCAAAACACGATTTCTTAAAACATCCTAGCCCTGTTTTTGCGACATGGAGTCTTGGAAGCCTGTAAGTTGTATGTTCCACTATTTTGTTTTTAATTAAAAAAATTTTTTTCCTTATTGATTTTTAGAGAGAGAGGAGGGAGAGGGAAAGATAGAAACATCGATGAGAGAGAACATTGACTGGCCGCCTCCTGCACGCCCCTCACTGGGCATCGGGCCCACAACCTGGGCATGTGCCCTGACCGGGAATCGAACTGGTGACCTCTTGGTGCAGGGTCGATGCTCAACCACTGAGCCACACCAGCCGGGCACATATGTTCCATGATGTTTATGGGGAAATTAAACTTCCCAGTGGGCTTTCACAAGTTTTCCCAGCTAGCTCTGTGACTTCTAAGTGCTTGGCCCGCCGTACGAGTGGGAATGAATCTATCCTGATTTCTAACCCGAGTCCGGGCACCCGGTCTGAGCACAGGATGCAGCGTCACGGAGTGATTCCTGCCCAGCCGGGCCTATCACAACGTGGAGATGGTTTCATAGCGAGAAAGGCCTGATCCGGTCCTGCAGACTAGCGGTCCCCTTTATGCGGGGCAGGGCAGGGGCACCCCACTGTGCAGCGCCCAGCTCCACAGCCCAGGCTGGAGGAGGGCAGAGGTCATGCCCACAGCAGGGCGTGGCGCAGGTGGGTGTCGTTCTGGGACAGCCCTGGGCGGCCAGCTCGGCTGAGGTCCCGCCTCCTCACCCCACTCTGATGAGCTCACGGCTGCTCTGCCTCCCGAAACTGCCCGGTCAACACGCAGGTAGGCGCCCAGCACAGGACAGGCCGGACCAGCCAGAGCGCCTTCCAGAGCTTCGGAAAATTCCAGTCTGCTCTGGCCCTCCTTCCTCAGGCCTGTGACACCCCCTCTTTGGCCTCTGTGGCTGTCCCTGTGGGTGTCACCCCTCACATTCCAGCTGCCACCACATAGCCCACTGAAAAGCGGACACTCGGGATTTGATAAGTGAGCACGTGAGTGAATGAACTAATGGGTGAGGTTTTCTTTGGTCTCCTGCCCAGAACCTCCACGACCTTTCTGCCCTGTGGTCTCACTGGGTCCGCAGCTCCAGCCTCGTGGCTACGGGGTGGTGGCTGGCGGCCGGGTGTTCTTGGAGCCAGCAGCTGGCCGGCTGAGAGCTGAGTGGGAGTGAGACCCACCCGAACCCAGGCCGGCGGCCACTCAGCACCCGGCACTTCTCGTCTCTCAAGCTCCCTCCTTCGTACCTGCAGCTAAGAATAGCACCTGCCGCAGGGGGTTGGATGGGGAGGGTGCAGACGTCAAAGCTGCGATACGCCTACCTCAGTGCTTGGCCCCGGGTAAGTGCTCAGACATGATCTCAGTGGAAACAAGTGGATCTATTTATATCGATTATATTGGATCCGAGCCCTGGCTCTGTCATCGGCTTGCGATGTGGATTGTGCCATTTGGGGCACACTTACTCTGGGCCTCAGTTTTCCTGACTGTGAAATAAAGACGGTGCATTACGTGATCTCTGAGCCTGACTCCCCCACACTGCAGCTCCGGGACCCCGACACGGCGGGTGAGGGCGGGGCCCGAGGGCTGCTGGAGGACCGGGTGGGTGCGCCAGGCGCTGACCACTCACCGGACAGGGCCAGGGGCTTGGACAGCCGCATGAGGGCGATGTCGTAGTCGTCCTGCTCGTCCGTGTAGTTGCCGTTGATGATGATCTGGGCGATGGGGGCCGCCTCGGGCAGCTGGTTCAGGTTGCTGGTGCCCGCGTACACCTTCCAGCCCTCCAGGACCTTTTCCCGGGTCCTGCCAGAGCCACGCGAGGTGTGATCCGGCGGCCCCCGCAGGGCCGGGCAGCACACGCCACCAGACGCCGCCCTCCAGCGCCAGCCGGGCGCAGGAGGGTGGATGAGATGACCTCTGGGGGAGCCCTCTGTCTTAGCTCAGGGGTCCATCACGAACCCCACCTCCAAAACCTGTCTGAACTGGCTGCGCCGCACCTCCCAATAGAGGGTGACAGTCTCCTCCGCACACCAGCGAAGATCGAATACGCTGGGCAGGACACTCTGTGTTCCCGTCCTTGGCAGGAAGGGGCCTCAGACAGGACAAAGTGACCCGCTGAGGGCTCGGTGCTGGGCAAGCCAGCGCCGCCGAGGCTCCCTGCAGGCCTTCCTGCCCACCAGCCTCGAGGGACAAGCCCGTGACTCAGGCGGGTCGGCCGCAGCCGCCCCCACGATCCCCACCCCTCGGTCCCGCGGACGGTGCTCCTGACTGCTCAGGCCGCTCCCGTTCGGTCCAGCTACAGGCACCAGCCGCTCAGAACAAGTGTGCCCGGCTCACACTGCCCGGGCCGAGCAGGCACCGCCCATCTGGCCAGGCCACCTGCCCTGGGAGCGGGGGCAGCCTCGGACCGAGCCCTTCACGAGAAAGAGCCAGTGAGCCGTCAGCCCTCCCCGGTGACCGGAACCCGCAGGGTCCCTCAGCCGCCCCTCGGGCACTTACACGAAGAAGCAGTGGGCGGCAGTGAGCACCCACTGGGCGTCGATCAGCGTGCCCCCGCAGATGTGGGTGGTGCCGTAGTGCAGGCTGACTTGCCAAGGCCACTTGCTCCCGGGGGCCAGTGCCCCTCCCACGATCCGCCCTGTCATGGCCCTCAGTCCACAGTCTGGCGGAAGCAGAAAAGGTGAACCGTGAACTCGGCTGCTCTTGGAGCCCTGACCTGCTCCCCAGGCCCCGGCCGGCTCAGGCAGCCCATGCTGAGGGCACCCGTCCACCCCCAGACGCCACAGGCTCACTCAGTCCGACAGGGCACAGCTGTTTCCTGCCCGAGCAGAGGGCCCCCACGGTGCCTAGCTTTCTGGGGTCGCCCGTGGGGAGCTGGATCCCAGCCAGGCTCCTCTTTCCTCCCCCCCATTTGCTCTCTCACGGATTCGACGACAGCTCACTAAGGCCCGCACACTGGGCACCATGGCAGACGTGAGGGTGGCAACGGGCAACCTCGGGACAGTTGTCGGGAGCTCAGGAAGGCAGATCAAGCCTGCCACGACCCCGGATGAATAGGCACCGTGCTGGGGTCTCTTTTCCCTCCAAACGCAAAGGAGAAATACACCCCATGGTGCACAGATGCGTTTGTGCCCACATGGCTCCCCAGCGCGTCATTTAGTGCTGTTGGGGAGCCTTCATTCCGGGCATCATTTCCAAGTGTTTTCTGGAGTGAGTCATCCCCCAAGACGTGGACAAGGAGGGCAGCCCGTGGGGTTTGTTCAGACGGGGGTCCTTTCTCTTTGAGGGGGCAGAGTGAGGAGCCTGCGTGGCCTCTTTGGTATGAGCGAACCTGCTGGGCTGAGCCGTCAGGAGGAAGGGAGAGGCTGGGCTGGAAGTGCCCAGTGCCTACGGGAACCCTGGCCCTGAAGCTGGCTCAGCCCCTCTCCCTGGTGCACCCCCACGCCAGCCATCGGCCCAGAGAGGTTTGTCCCTCTGCCCCCGACTCCCACCCCACACAGGCCACATCCAAGAGGAGGAGCATCTCTTACGGGAACACTGGAGAGAGACGTAATGCTGGGAAGGGCATTCAGACCTGAAGGAAGGAAGACAGAAGGTGGGGAAAAGGCACACTGGCCACCTCTTCCAAGAAGCCTCCCCTGATTGAACCTTGCTTAGTCCCCATCTCGTTTTCTCTGCACAAGAAAATGGAGATTCTGACCTCCTCCCTCCTAGGGGGGCAGCCCTTCCAGTGCTTTCTCCAGGAGCAGAAATAGCTCAGTGCAAAGCATCCCCACTTTTCCCCACCCCCACTTCCGAGCGGCAGACTGCACGTTGACTGGATTCACGTCCTCGGAGCTCATGCCTCTGTCGTCCCCGCGTCTTCCCACAGCGGAACAGGGAGCCTGACACGCCCAGGCCGGCTCCTGCATGCTCACCAGCAAGGTGCATGCAAACACCTGACGCAAAGCAGGTGTCCGGTGCAGCCAATTCCCGCCCCTTCCTTCACCCCGTTCTCTCAGAGCCTCGTTTCTTCTTTTGTCCCCCAAGGCGGAGCGCCCCCAACCTCCCCCTCAGTGGGGTTGGGACAGGCCGGGGCTGCAGACATGGGATGAGGAGGCTCAGGAGGAGGCCAGTGCCTCCCAGATGGGCCTCCTGCCCCCTGCCCCTGGCACCTGCCCCCTGCACCTGGCACCTGGCACTCCCCTGCTGCTCCTCCCCACCCCAAGCCCGCTCCCTGCACCAATGCTCACTCCAAACACCTGGCGGACTGGTGGCCCCCAAATGTGTTCATTGTCTCTGGTAAACTCTTGGGGATCCCCCCTGGCCGCAAGGTACTTTCTGCACCGAGCCTCAGCAAGAAGTCAGGAGCAGGTGGGAAGTGCTGAGCTGCTCCTGACGTTCACGCTGGACTCCTGGAGGCGGGGTCCCCGAAGGCCACAGGCGGGCTCCCTGACCCGGAGCCCCTGCCCGCACACCTGTAGAGGCTCTCCTGGATGGTGGAGTTGTATTCGGCGATGGAGAAACTGTGGGCAGCGCCCCTGTAGGCCACCTCGTCTGTCCGGTAGGCGCTGCAGCAGGAGAGAGGGGACGAGGGACAGCCCGCTAGACAGAGTCCACCCAGGGGGCGCCTCTCGCCAGCCCTGCGGACCGGCCCAGAGGCTGCCAGGCCCTGTGGTCTGGCCCCACCCACATCGCCCCCGCTGCCCCCACTAGCCCTGTGTTCGCCCAGGAGTGCTCCGAGCGTGTTCCCTGCCAAGACCTGGGGGCATCAGCGCCACCTGTGTGTTAGGAATGCACACTCCAGGGCCCCGACCCCTGCTGCATCAGGAAGTCTGTTCTGTTTGCACGGGCTCGGGGTGACCTGAAGCTCGCCCACGCTGGAGAAACACTAACCTGGCCCTTTTCTCCCCGAACTGGGATCCATGGACCGACGGGCGGGGCAGCACCCTGGACCTGCCGAGCCGGACCCCGCCTCACAGCCCGTCCTCACCGCGCGGTTTGCACGTTCAGGACCGAGAACCTCGCTCACTTGTCCTCAGACCGCAAGGTGCATAAGAACCACCTCAGAGCGTGTGCTAAGCGGATTCTGAGTCATAATCCCAGAGGTTCTGAATGTGGATACATTTTTTTTTTGTTCAGATAGAGTGGGAGGGAGAGCGAGAGAGAACATCGACGTGAAAGGGACACATCGAGTGGCTGCCACCTGTACGACCCAACCAGGGCCGGGGACAAATTGCAACTGAGGTACGTGCCCTTAGCGGGAACTGAACCCGGGTCTCTCCGGACCGCAGGCCGACGCTCTAACCGCTGAGCCAAACCGGCCAGGGCTGAATGTGGATACATTTTAACAAACCACAGATGCCTGCGATGTGAAGGGTCCGTGTAGCACCTGTGTGTGTTTCTAGGCCATGGTACCTCCTTCCGTGAGTGTGTGCCTTGAGCACACTGTTCTCCACCGGGAGCTCCTCCGCTCCCTGCTCTCTCCAGGGGCAGCCGGGCACCCTCTCTGCCGGGCACCCTCTCTGTCGGGCACCCTCTCTGCCAGGCACCCTCTCTGCCGGGCACCCTCTCAGCCGGGCACCCTCTCTAGGCACCCTCTCAGCCGGGCACCCTCTCTGCCGGGCACCCTCTCAGCCGGGCACCCTCTCAGCCGGGCACCCTCTCTGCCGGGCACCCTCTCTGCCAGGCCCAGAGAGCTCCACACGTCCTCCCTTGTCACATGGGACACTCATTGTAATGATTGCTTTCGGCCTCTCTTGCCCATGCCACGAGGTTCTCCAAGGGCAGGGATCTGGTCTTGTTCCTTTGCATCTGGGTGCAGCATATTAAAAGCTCAGTGGGCCCTGGCCAGTTTGGCTCAGCGGTTAGAGCGTCGGCCTGCGGTCCGGAGAGACCCGGGTTCAGTTCCCGCTAAGGGCATGTACCTCGGTTGCAGTTTGTCCCCGGCCCTGGTTGGGTCGTGTGGGTGGCAACCACTTAATGTGTCTCTCTCACATCGATGTTTCTCTCTCTCTTCCTCCCTCTCTCCCTCCCGCTCTATCTGAAGATAAATGCAAAAATGTCCTTGGGTGAGGATAAAAAAATTTTAAAAAGGTCCATGAATGTTCTGTGAATAAATGACACTATCTACTGAAGCCCAAAGGAGGTTCGGACTTGCATGAGGTCACATAACTAAACGATGAAAAATGTCCATGGTCTTCCGACTAGATCCCCCAGCTCCCCTCCCCCAGCTCCCCTCCCCCAGCTCCCCTCCCCCAGCTCCCCCGTTCACAGGCAGGGACTCCGAGACTGAGGTGTGGGCCAAGAATTGCTTCTAAGTCCAACCTGGTTTTCTAGAAGCTTCTTCCACAGAGAGCCCTCGGTGAGATCGTAAACCCTTCTCCCCACCACCTCACTCACATTGCTGAACCCCAAAACTACGTGACTTGAAAACATGGACCAAGAGGGAACATGCAGATGGCCACGTGGCCTGCAGACTGGGTCTCCTCAAGTCCAAGGTCATCATTCACCCCATCTCTCCTCCAAAGAAGCATCAGCTTCTTCAAAATCTTTGGAGCCAAAGATTCTTATGACTGTACCTGGCCACACTGCCCACTTCGTCCCCATGTGATGAGTTCTAGCCCGAGGCACAAGTGTCCAAGTGCACTGAAGGGTGTGCGGAGCCTGAGCTTCTAGTCCTCAGACGTGAGAAGACCGGACCTGCCCAAATGCCTCCCCACCTCCAAGGGCCGCAGTGACTGTCAAGTGTGATAAAGGGCAGGAGGTGCTGCCGCAGAGAACCCCGTGGGGGTGCGATCCCATTGCAGACCTATTGCTCTGGCCTCGTGGAAGAAGCTTCCCCCAGACTTGTAAGATCGCAGGGCCCCTGTCCCTTTGAATAACTCAAGGGTGTCCTGAGCCAGTGACCTCAACCCTGGCCCCCAAGCATCCCTTTCAGACGAGGCCCCCGCAAGGAGCCTGGGACACCTTGCAAAGGAGCCTGGGACACCTTGCAAAGGAGCCTGGGACACCTTGGGGAGCTCCCCGAAGCAGGACGGGGGGCGGAGGGTTACCTCTCAAAGCCCAGCTGCTGGCAGGTCTTCACCGAGTAGGTGTTGTTCCAGCTGTCGCTGCAGACGGGAAACCACTGGTGGGAGGGTCCAGAGTAGACTTTCAGCAGAGACTTGTCCCATTCGAACCTCACTGCAGGGCAAGGAAAGGGCAGAGCAGGTCCTCAGCGCCCAGGAAGCTCCACGTTTTGGGGGAACAGACTGAGTTAGGCTCTGGGGGCTCCTGTCCTGAGTCTCCTCCCTGAGGCCCAGGTGACGCCCAGGAGCTCGGCCCGGAGGTGGTGATGGTCAGCAAGTGCTCAGAAGCCCACGGTCCTCCGTAAGGGCAGAGCCGAGGCGCGGGGCCGGAGCGGGGCAGAGAGCTCTCCCTCCAGCGGGACCCGGGGACAGGGCTGGCAGGAGGGGTGGGCACTGCCAGGAGCTGCCACCCTAGAGGGCCGTGACATGCCCAAATGAGAGTGACAAGCGGGGAGGTCTGTGATCCGACTGAGTGCTCACTAGACAGGTTCAGGGACAGGTGGCCACAGTCACGGGCCAGGACACACGCAGTGCACAGGTAGAGTGGGTGGACGTGTGCCCACTGACACACACGTCAGGGCTCCACGTGGACAACGCCTCTGAAAACCGCTGAGCCCAGAGCTCGATGGTATCTGTGCTCATCTAGACCAGCTGTTCACGTGAAACGTAGGGTGGAAGTCAGAGGGCATGTGCTGGGCAAAGAGGAGGTACACAGACTGAGGCCCGGAGAAGGTAAGTGGTTTGCCCAAGTCACACAGCCCTCAAGGCCAGGTTTCAAACACAAGCCTTCCATGATTAGAACCCAGACCCTCCGATTCTCTGTCCACTGCTTCCCATCCGAGTTTGCAGTCACTGGAGTGCACACATGACACACATGAGCGCACACAGAGAGACATGCATGCACACATGTGCGCGCACAAGACACACGTGCAAGCACACAAGACACACATGCAAGCATACATGCACGCACACACAAACGTGCACACATGCACCTGCAAACACACGCGTGCGCACGTACAGGCACACATGCGCATACAGATACACGCGCACGCACCACCGTGCACACACGTGCACATGCATGCCCGGCCTGCTTACCACAGCCCAGCTCGTCGCTCTTCAGCTTGCAGTCCACCACCCCGTCGCAGCGCACAGCGTGCCTGGGGCAGCTCTCTACCGCCTCCTTGTACTTGATCCCGGTGTGGCCTCGCCAGAAGTAGACTGGAAAACATGAAGCAGACAGCTGGCTCACTGCCAGCCCCACAGAGACAGGGTGCTGAGCAGCCCAAGGCCCTGGGGTTCGAGACACCGACCTGCGATCCCTCTTGGACTCTGGGGCTCTCGTCCCCCATCTGTACGGAGAGAAAGGCTACTCAGGAATGCTCCGGAAAGCTGCTAGCAGCAAAGCACCAGGCACTTGAGCAGCCTCCCAGAGGAAGAGGAGGAGGGAGGGAGGGAGGTGGGCACTATTTTAGGAGCTCCCTGCCCTGCATGCTGGCCACAGCGGTGGCCAGGAAAACCAGCTCCTCCAGGATCCCAGAGGCCCCTTCTCAGAACCCTCCGGCCTCGTTGGTCTTTGTGCTCTGCAGGGTGACACAGACATTTCTCAATCTACAGGCACATGCCTGCCACCACCCCTGTCCTGTTTTCTCGAAGGTGGTCTTTCCAGCCTCGGAAGGATTTTCTCCCTCCTCCTCTCCCACGAACAAGGACCGGCTCCTAGTCTCAGTTTTTGCCCCGTTTCTGGTTTTTATGCTTTGAAAGCTCTTCCCACTCAAGAAGCAACTCCGGATGGCTGGTGCCCAAATGCACAGGCTTCACCAACCATCCGTGAAGGTCAGCCTCATGGCCCCTGTGTCTCTGACACCTATCTCCTTCCAAACCGGGAACCGATGTCCCTCCTGCCTGGACTCACCGGCCCCTGGATGCCCCAGATCCTGGCTTCTGACTTCTCTCCTTGCCTGTTGTCTACAAGCCGCCCCCGTGCGACTGCTCCTTCCGGCTCCAGACACCAATCCCCCCGATTCTCTTGGGTGCGCCCCTATTCTCCGGGCCCTCGCCACTGTGACCGAACCTGCCGCAGGCCCCTGCATGTGCCGTGGGGAGAGCTCTGGATGGGGAGGCCGGCTGGGGCTCCGGTTGTGACCCCCGAAGTAGCTGCTCAGTGACCACTCCCTGGTGCTGGGAGGTCCAGGGGTCAGAGGACTTGAGGAAATGTTGGGAACCACGTGGAGAGGTCTAACCGCGGGTTATTCGTACTGCTCAGTGGGTGGCAGGTCTCCCCTGGGGGGAGCCCGGTGTGGGGACAGGACAGAGAGCAGGGCTGCACGTCCCAGAGGAGGTTCCATGGGGACCGTGCGGGGTCCTCCACATGCACCGTGACAGCGACACCTCCATCTCCCAGCAGGTGGGCGCGAGGCTCAGGAAACTAACGGACCTGCTGAGGTGGCACAGCTGTGGGGAGCAGAGCCTGGCACTTCGGTGGTCTGTGTGCCACCCAGGCGTGTTCTGACCACACTCGCCCCTCCAGCACAGCCCTGTCCCTCACCTGGCTGCCAGGTGTCTGTGTCGTCCGCCACCTGCTTCCCCCACACTGCTACTCCGGAGAGACTCCGGCCCGCTCAGCCCGCATCCGGTCTCGAACCGGGCTGTACCCACGCGCGGACGCCCCCGGGACCCAAATGGCCATTCTTCTCTCTGGCTAGCGGGTCCCTGCCCTCCCCAGGCTGCCCTGCCCACCTGCCCTGCACTTCCTGCAGCTGCCTTCCCGTCAGATGTCCTGTACGAGGTGCCCTCCCATCTCCTGGCCTTCGTGAGCTGCCCCCTCCTCAGGCCACACAGCGGTCGCCTCTTCCTGACAGTCCGCCGTGTCCCCCAGGAGACCGCGATCCCCCTGAGGACGGGGCACACTGTGTGTCCCCTGTTGCTCCCTGCCCTGCTCTGGGTTCCTAGTGGGCGCCCTGACGGACGGCCCGGGGACATGTCCTGAGCATCTTTCCCGCAGAGGAGGGCATTGTGGGTGCCTGAATCCCGGAACAAGGTATCTCGTTGACGGAACATGCCTGAGAGAGCTTTTCCAATCAGGGTTTTTATTTTTGTATATTTTAAGAAGTAGCATTTTTCGAGTGGGGTTTCGTGCCAGGCATTGTGCCATTATCTCGTTTATCCCTCACGACATAAGCTGAATAAGTGCGTGTGAGAATGAATGAATGAATGAATGAATGACCCTCATTTGGAGATGGGGGCACTGGGCTCTGAGTGCTAAACGTTTCTGCTGAGGTGCTCTGCACAGTGAGAAAAACAGACGGACCCAAGCCCAGGTCTCTGCCTCCCCATGCTCTGCACTCCGCACTTCGGAGGGGCCTGGGGCACCGTGGTCCGAGGCCATGTGCGGTAGTGGCCTTCCGTCTTCCTGCTGTGCGCCCCGTCCCCAGACCGCCCTGCCCCCCCGCGACACTCACAGAGCACGATGAGCGACACCACCAGGGCGATGAGGAGGAGGACGCATCCGATGAGCGGCAGCCGCTTCTGGCCCTCCTGCCAGGAGAACTTGGGCAAGCGGACACCTAGGAGCAGGCGGCAGGGGTGAGGCTGTGGGAGGGGCAGTCCTGCCCTGTGGGTCCCGATGGGAGCCCATGCCCTCAAGATCCACACCCCCACCCACACTGTGCAGCCTCCCAAGTGACTCCTGCTGGTTGATCTGGGTTCTTAGCCTCCCCCAGGTGCCCCCTGCTCCACTGTCTTGGGTCTGCCCGGAACGATTCCTTCCTGCCCCCACCTCCCCAGGCCCCCGACTGCCACCCTGGCCATTGCCCCTCCGTCCACACATTGCTGTCCGGGGAGGAGCAGACAGTGCCAGTGTGGAGGCTGCTCCCCAGCCGTGGACTGCTTCCCTGTTCCTCTCGCCTCCCCGCAGCATGCCCCTCACCTGGGGTCTCCCTGGTGGCCCTGGTGGCTGGCGCGGAGGTGGCAGGAGGTGCCCGGACAGGCGTGGCCCCCACTGGTGTTGCTCTAACGAGGTACACTCTCCTCGGGGAGGACGTCGTGGAGGCCGACCTGGCAGACGATGACCGGGAGGATGATGCCAGGGCCGGGGCTGCCCGGGCTGGAGCTGCCCGGGCTGGGGACGTCCTTGCCGGGGAAGCGTCCTGAAAGCAGAGAGAAGGCGTCCCTCAGGCTGCGGCCGGGCCAGCCCACCCGTGAGCCCGCCGGGCTGGGACAGCGACGCTCTGAGGCCAGAGGCTGGGGGAGCGGAGCGCAGGACGGGAGGCGTTTGCGGAGACGAGTGTCCAAGCACGGAACGCTGGTCAAGGAGCCAGCTGTCCCCAGCTCCCTCCAGTCTCTCCCTGTCACAGGGACCTGCAGAGGGCGGGCAGAGGGCAGTGGGCCCAGGCACCTGCTTTGGTGACACACGTCTAGGGACCCTCAAAGAAGAGGCGCCTGGTCTGGCTCCTCACTCCGAAGGTCATCCAGAGAGCTGTGGTTCCTGGTTCCACTGTCCTCACCTCCACCGCCCTGCATCCTGCCCCTTTTCCGATGTGTGTGTCAGCCTGTGGAACACTGGCCTCACACACGCTCATGCACACACATGCTCGTGTACACACACGCTCGTGTACACAAGGCACGCACACACACTCTTGTGTATACACACACTCGTGCACACACACACTTATGCACACACGCTCCTGTACACACAGGTACGTACACACATGCTCGAGCACACACATGCTCGTGCACACACACACTCGTGTACACAGGTTTGTGCACACAGGCACGCACACATGCTCGTGCACACACAGGTTTGTGCACACACGCTCGTGTACACACAGGCACACACACACGCTCATGCACACACACGCGCACCAGTGTCCCAGGACCCTGGAAAGGCAGGGTTGGGAGGAGAAGGGGCGGACGGGGCGAGGACACCACCGCCCCTCAGCCTCACTCGGCTGCAGGACTCAGTCATTCATACTTGCCCCTGATGCCTGGTGACAGGGACCGTGGCGAGCTCTACCTGCCGCCATGTACGTACTCGGAGCTGCCAGAGCAGCCGTGAGGCAGGGGCTCTCAGCAGCCCCCTCGGCCAGGGCAGAGAGACGAGCAACTTGATCGAACCGGCAGAGCCCGGATGTGAGCCCAGAAAGGCGGGGTCAGGAGGCCAGGCTCTGCCCGCTGCCCTGCGCGGCCGCCTGGGGGAGGGGTGGAGATGAGGCAGCAGGTCCTAGCGGGCACTGGGGAGGCCGGCCCGTAGCCTCCCGGGACCCGAGCAGTCGGGAAGAGGGAGCCAGCGGCAGTCAGGGCTGATGAGAAAGGCTTGAGCAGCCTCTGCTGGCTGTCAGGCCCCGTTCCGGTCACCAGGCATCTCCTCACTCCCTCTGGCCCCTTTCGGAGATCTCCCCACCCTCCCTGACACCATCCCTGCCCCCCCCCCAAGTCCCCAGAGCCGCAGGGGACGCAAGGAGCTGAGCCGGCCCAGGGGCCATGTCGGACCCTCATCATCTCTGCTGAACACCGACGGGCTGCTCAGAGCGGGTCTCCCAGGAGCAGCAGGCCCGGTGGGGGACGCTCCCTGCGCTCGGACCCTGCGCTGGGGCTCGTCTGCAGGGGTGTGTGGGCCTCACAAGAGGTGGGGCTCGAGCACCTGCTTTCCTCCCTCCCCTGCACGGGCCCAGAGCACCGGACACGCTCACTAGGAGGCCAGCTCATGAAAAGTCCTCACGGAAACATCCCGCCCCACCGGCACCGGCACCCAGCCGGCAGGCGTTGTTGTTGTTTCCTCCCCGGAGAGTCACAGGTGATTGATTCGGCCACTTCCTCATTTCTGTGGCTCTGTGGGATGCGCTCAAGGAGGAATCTCCAGGCCCGATATTGCCAGAGGCAGGGGCCAGGGGGTCACTGGGGCAACGGATGGAATGGATGTGGGTAAACGCGGGTAAAGGCACAGGAGCCCGGGGCTCCAGGCAGCTGAGCAGGACACACTGTGCGCCCCGGGGAACCTGAGGGCGGCTGAGCAGGACACACTGTGCGCCCCGGGGAACCTGAGGGCAGTTGAGCAGGACACACTGTGCGCCCCGGGGAACCTGAGGGCAGCTGAGCGGGACACACTGTGTGCCCCGGGGAACCTGAGGGCAGTTGAGCAGGACACACTGTGCGCCCCGGGGAACCTGAGGGCAGCTGAGCGGGACACCTGTGCGCCCCGGGGAACCTGAGGCAGTTGAGCAGGACACACTGTGCGCCCCGGGGAACCTGAGGACATCTGAGCGGGACACACTGTGCGCCCCGGGGAACCTGAGGGCAGTTGAGCAGGACACACTGTGCGCCCCGGGGAACCTGAGGGCAGCTGAGCGGGACACACTGTGCGCCCCGGGGAACCTGAGGGCAGTTGAGCGGGACACACTGTGCGCCCCGGGGAACCTGAGGGCATCTGAGCGGGACACACTGTGCGCCCCGGGGAACCTGAGGGCAGTTGAGCAGGACACACTGTGCGCCCCGGGGAACCTGAGGGCAGCTGAGCGGGACACACTGTGCGCCCCGGGGAACCTGAGGGCAGTTGAGCAGGACACACTGTGCGCCCCGGGGAACCTGAGGGCATCTGAGCGGGACACACTGTGCGCCCCGGGGAACCTGAGGGCAGTTGAGCAGGACACACTGTGCGCCCCGGGGAACCTGAGGGCAGTTGAGCGGGACACACTGTGCGCCCCGGGGAACCTGAGGGCAGCTGAGCGGACACACTGTGCGCCCCGGGGAACCTGAGGGCAGCTGAGCGGACACACTGTGCGCCCCGGGGAACCTGAGGGCATCTGAGCGGACACACTGTGCGCCCCGGGGAACCTGAGGGCATCTGAGCGGACACACTGTGCGCCCCGGGGAACCTGAGGGCAGCTGAGCGGGACACACTGTGCGCCCCGGGGAACCTGAGGGCAGCTGAGCGGACACACTGTGCGCCCCGGGGAACCTGAGGGCATCTGAGCGGACACACTGTGCGCCCCGGGGAACCTGAGGGCGGCTGAGCGGGACACACTGTGCGCCCCGGGGAACCTGAGGGCAGCTGAGCAGGACACACTGTGCGCCCCGGGGAACCTGAGGACATCTGAGCAGGACACACTGTGCGCCCCGGGGAACCTGAGGACATCTGAGCAGGACACACTGTGCGCCCCGGGGAACCTGAGGGCGGCTGAGCGGGACACACTGTGTGCCCGGGGAACCTGAGGGCAGCTGAGCAGGGCACACTGTGCGCCCCGGGGAACCTGAGGGCAGCTGAGCAGGGCACACTGTGTGCCCGGGGAACCTGAGGGCGGCTGAGCAGGACACACTGTGCGCCCGGGGAACCTGAGGGCAGCTGAGCAGGGCACACTGTGTGCCCGGGGAACCTGAGGACATCTGAGCAGGGCACACTGTGTGCCCGGGGAACCTGAGGACATCTGAGCAGGACACACTGTGCGCCCGGGGAACCTGAGGACATCTGAGCAGGACACACTGTGCGCCCCGGGGAACCTGAGGGCAGCTGAGCAGGACACACTGTGCGCCCGGGGAACCTGAGGGCGGCTGAGCGGGACACACTGTGTGCCCGGGGAACCTGAGGGCGGCTGAGCAGGACACACTGTGTGCCCCGGGGAACCTGAGGGCGGCTGAGCAGGACACACTGTGTGCCCCGGGGAACCTGAGGGCGGCTGAGCAGGACACACTGTGTGCCCCGGGGAACCTGAGGGCGGCTGAGCGGGACACACTGTGCGCCCGGGGAACCTGAGGGCAGCTGAGCAGGGCACACTGTGCGCCCCGGGGAACCTGAGGGCGGCTGAGCAGGACACACTGTGTGCCCGGGGAACCTGAGGACATCTGAGCAGGACACACTGTGCGCCCCGGGGAACCTGAGGGCGGCTGAGCGGGACACACTGTGTGCCCGGGGAACCTGAGGGCGGCTGAGCAGGACACACTGTGCGCCCGGGGAACCTGAGGACATCTGAGCAGGACACACTGTGCGCCCCGGGGAACCTGAGGGCAGCTGAGCGGGACACACTGTGCGCCCCGGGGAACCTGAGGGCGGCTGAGCGGGACACACTGTGTGCCCGGGGAACCTGAGGGCGGCTGAGCGGACACACTGTGCGCCCCGGGGAACCTGAGGGCGGCTGAGCGGGACACACTGTGCGCCCCGGGGAACCTGAGGGCGGCTGAGCGGGACACACTGTGTGCCCGGGGAACCTGAGGGCGGCTGAGCGGACACACTGTGCGCCCCGGGGAACCTGAGGGCGGCTGAGCAGGGCACACTGTGTGCCCGGGGAACCTGAGGGCGGCTGAGCGGACACACTGTGCGCCCCGGGGAACCTGAGGGCGGCTGAGCAGGACACACTGTGTGCCCGGGGAACCTGAGGGCGGCTGAGCGGACACACTGTGCGCCCCGGGGAACCTGAGGGCGGCTGAGCGGGACACACTGTGCGCCCCGGGGAACCTGAGGGCGGCTGAGCGGGACACACTGTGTGCCCGGGGAACCTGAGGGCGGCTGAGCGGACACACTGTGCGCCCCGGGGAACCTGAGGGCGGCTGAGCAGGGCACACTGTGTGCCCGGGGAACCTGAGGACATCTGAGCAGGACACACTGTGCGCCCCGGGGAACCTGAGGGTGGCTGAGCGGGACACACTGTGCGCCCCGGGGAACCTGAGGGCGGCTGAGCAGGGCACACTGTGTGCCCGGGGAACCTGAGGACATCTGAGCAGGACACACTGTGCGCCCCGGGGAACCTGAGGGCAGCTGAGCAGGACACACTGTGCGCCCCGGGGAACCTGAGGGCAGCTGAGCGGGACACACTGTGCGCCCCGGGGAACCTGAAGGCATCTGAGCGGGACACACTGTGCGCCCCGGGGAACCTGAGGGCGGCTGAGCGGGACACACTGTGCGCCCCGGGGAACCTGAGGGCGGCTGAGCAGGACCCACTGTGCGCCCCGGGGAACCTGAGGGCAGCTGAGCGGGACACACTGTGCGCCCCGGGGAACCTGAGGGCGGCTGAGCAGGACCCACTGTGCGCCCCGGGGAACCTGAGGGCAGCTGAGCGGGACACACTGTGCGCCCTGGGGAACCTGAGGGCGGCTGAGCGGGACACACTGTGCGCCCCGGGGAACCTGAGGGCGGCTGAGCAGGACCCACTGTGCGCCC